AGATACTCATTCGCAACGGTTATAACCTTTGCAATAGAAAACTAGATCTAATGAAACACTTTGAGAATTAAATCATTGCATTAGTACCGCAACCGTTGCCATAGTATCTTTATATTGCAATGGTTCGTATAAACTATCGCCTTAGGTACTCTATGGAAACAGTTCCGCCAATTATTTTTCCTCTATTATTTTACTCCACTTATTTCACTACACCCGCCAAAAGAATTCCTTTTAAAATTAATTGTAAAATTAAAATAAAAGAGCCTCATTTTAAATCCAAACAGTTGATCTCTAGTATTCAATCTCAACCTTACATCTATTTAAAAATCAACAATATAGATCAAAATAATTGATTTACCTATTTTAATCTACCAAGAGCAAAATCCTAAAAAAAATTCCACTCCCTAGCCTTCACCATAGCAGCGGTGCCCGCTATCTCGTCTCCTCCCCTCCTCATCGCTACTTCCCTATTCTCCCCCAGCGAGAAACAATAGCCTAAAGCTCCAGCAAGCAGGCTCCATCGACGGAAACAACAAGCTCCAGCCAGCGAGCTCAAGGCAGCGTCACCTCTTTCTCTCTTCCGGCAAAGACGAGAGAACAACAACATCGGCAGTCGGGATATCCCTAGCGCCTCCCTCCATTCTTTTCTCTTTTCCAGCAGCTCTAGCGATGACCAATAGCAGCACAGAGATGGACAGTGTATGGTCTTCTCTTTTCCATTCTCCGATCAGCGAGCTACGAGGAAGCAACTCCGACGCAGCCACCTTCTCCTCCGGAGAGGCAATTTCTATCAGACATGACCATCAATATTTCTATCCTAATTTTGGCTGAGTTTAATTTGTTAGTCAAAGTTTTGCTGTTTAAACTATTTTGGAAGTAGAATGGAAAATTCCCCCTTTAAAAAGTATATTTTTTTTTCAAATATATTTTCTTTCATGGTCTTTTTTGTTTGTTTGTGGTGGTTTAGATTTGAAGAAAGTTTCATCACTGATTGAAGGTAAAGCATATACAAGTGAAGTGCAAAAGATATACAGGCCTATGAGATTGATCATGAAACTCAGGAGCAAACCAAAGGCTTCAGAACTTTCTACTTTTTGGCCTAATTTTGTGAACTTGAATGGATGCCAATTCTTGAACATTCTAGGATTATTTTTATGTTTAAGCTTAATTTTTGTGAACATCAATGTATGTTAGCTCTTGAATTGTAAATCAAGATCATGTGTACTTTTCTTTAATATATGGATGCGACTAGTTGAAGTACATATTGGTTTAATATTTTCTATTATTATATTATAGTTTTCCATTTAGAAAGCCTATTGCAATAGTTTAATAACATTGTTGCAATAGTTTAGAAGAACTGTTGTAATAGATTAGATCGAGTTGTATAATAAAGTTGTTGTTATAGGTCTTTTACAACGGTTCGCAACTGTTGCAACAATCATAGAAAAATGTCGTTCTAAACTAAAGAATTATTGTTGCTATAGGTAGTGCGTTGCAATAGTTTACAATTGTTGCTATAAAACCGTTACTATAGACATATCGCAACAGACTTATATGCAACATGCCGATTTCCGTTGCCATAATGCAATTGCAACACTTTTTGAATCTATGACAATGATTATTCTTGTCTTGCAATAGACCTATTTTCTAGTAGTGGCTCGTCTTTTTTGTGATATGTGTCGGTTGATCAAACCACATTAACTCTTTGTCTTTTCGTAAAATTTATCGTTTATCTTCTTACTCGTGATATTTCGAAATTTATTTTGCTAGCTTTCACATGACACGTAATTATTCTCGATCCTAATAATTTTATGGACAATACAAATTACTTATGAGACATTTGGAAGCTTGTGAATTTCTTTAAAGAAGTCGATGTTGTACATATTCCTAGATCTAGGAATATGTTAGTACACAATTTAACAAAGTTTTTTATTTCATTATTACTATAAAGTTACTTGATCTTTTAGTACAAGAAAGAACCTTTCAATAGGTTGAGTAGTCAAGAAGTTGCCCAAATAGGGTTTGGAATTGGGATAGTTATCCTAATACAACCCCACATTCAATATCCTTTTTCCACGTTTAGTGAAACATCACAAACTATAAAAAATAGTCATTTAGGTATTTGTTTTGACATTAATTCACTCTAGTTTATAGAAGCATTCTTTCCAAAAGTTTTAACATGTGTCTCTCCAATAAAAATGAGAAGTAGAAAACTATTAATTAGGCAATGTCATGCTATAATTGAAAAGGATAGTCTAATCATGGTCGTTTAGGACAAATTTGGGTGTCATTTTCAGGGAGTTGGTACTCGATATAAGGTGCAATGCACCAACAAAGTTTGTAAAGTAGGCAGAGTTCTATTGATTTCCACAAGCATAAAACTCAAGTCTGCCGTCAAGTTTGTCGGTGAAATGAATAGAATCTCTTTATTATTATTTAGATTTTGAATTTGAAAATAGAAGAAATCTTGATAGAAAGTATTAAAGGATTATTCCTTAATTAATGATTTGTTTTAAATATTTATTACTCTCTCTCCAGAAATGTTTGTCATGTTGCGTTTATCGAAAGTCAATTTGACTAATTAAATCACATTAATTTGATATTTTAAACAAAAAAAATAAATATTCTAAAACTATATGAAAAGTACTATAAATTACAATTTTTTTCATATTACTATGATGAAAAAATACATCTTAAAACGTTAGTCAAAGTTTTTATAACCTGACTCTTAAAAAACCGACAAACAATATCGGACGAAGGGAGTAGTGTGTTTCAAGGACAAACAAATTAAGATAACTGAATGATTACAAGATGTATAATGATCCTGAACAAGCTCATATACCGAGGCTAGTACCTTTGTTAGCTTGATTTATATTCAATCTTCACGCATCACCATCTAATACATTCAATAATCAAGTTCAGGTTTTGACCTACACAACTTCCTCTTTAGTTGCCTAACATAATGTGAATTCACATTAATCATAATCCTAAAATGTATATTTAACAACACATAAAAATAGGACAAAAATACCAATGCAGAATCTGTTTTAGTTTGCCCTGAAAATTTATCTCTCTAATCCTAATGTTTTCTAGAAAGTTCTCTTTATGGGTTCATTAGTACACAAATAATTCAAAAGTCACTCAAGAAGTCTAAAAAAAAGACTTGTGAAGTCCCCACCAAAGAAACATGCACATACACCATAAACCATATTAGAGATGAGTGATGACTTGTGAGGTATCCTTTTCTATCTTATTAAATTTATTTATTAGTATTTTCTTTCTCAATCTCAAAGAACGCAATATAACAAGAGTTGAAAGATAAAAAGGCTGAGTTATCATTTAAATTTGGTGTCAAATTTCATTAGATATTTCAAGTACACTTTTATCATTTTAAACACTTATAATATAGATTTGTTATATTATTTTTGATTCCTTCTTAAATAATCAACAGAATATTTAGCAAATACTATTTCATTCTTATTAAGAGATAATCAAATTTGGCATAAGCATAGATAAAAATCAGATATACATTATAATAAAATTCATTCTCTTAAATTTTTTACTTGAAACACATAATTTTTAAATTTTAGATTTGTCACAGTTTTTCAATTTATCTTACGCATAATACAAAAATTTAAAACAAAAATCCATCAGGCACGTTTATAACTAGTAATGAATAGCAACTTCACCTACCACAAGAGGGTAGCTTCTTCCTCACCAAATTAATAATTCTAAAGCTTATCAACAATTATGACAAGATTATTGAGAATGACAAAAATTTCAACATTTACGGCTACAAAAAGATATAATAAAGAAAATATACCATAAAACATATGACACCTGTATATAGTATAGGAGACACTTCATCAAATCTAATAAGAACAAGTAACTACATCAAAATTCAAACATAACAATTAAGTAAAAGAGGGTAACAATCATGCTTGGTCAATAAAATAGATATTAAATCAAAATGATGAATAATTTCTTATGATTTATTCGAATTGATAAAGAATTATCTGATATTTGTATTGATGAAAACTATTGAATAACACAATTATTTCCAAAAAATGGTTAAAGAGGACCATTTTAAGAAATCAAAAGCATACGTGGTGTGCTTAAAATCAGAAGAATTGGGAATATTGCGTCAAAGCTAAAGTCCTAAAATTGGCCATTTCTTCCTCCATATGATTATTAAATAATAATACAAGAATCAAAAAGCTATAATTTTTTTTGTAGTTATTAGGCGACCATATATATCCATTGATCTTATTGTCGTTATGTACAGTTAAAGGACATCTAAACTATTTTACTTTCAAAATATATATGTATATGACATTAAAAACAGGATCAAAATTTCCATTTTTGTGAGTAGAGATCACATTAAAATTCAGAATTGTCATGGTTCCCCTAATCCAGCTGATATATTGACGTAATAAGAAAAAAATCATTTTACTTTATTTTGCGTTGATAATTATCTCGTAAAGTCGCTTAAAATTATTATCATTTTATCACAACGTTAATTTTAAAGAATGACAAAAAATTTCACATTGATAGTTAATGAGATGAATAGGCTTCTTATAAGACTTGAACAATCCTCATTTCTTTGAACTAGTTTTTGGACCTTAATTAAAGACTTAAATCAAGAAATCCTTTCTATATGCTCAGCGTAATTTAGTTGAATTATTTTTGTTTTACAAATCAACGTATAATGACTTTATGAGATTAAGTTGATAATTGAATCATCATTTAAGGCATATTAACTTATTTTACTATAAATGCATAAAGTTAATATCCTGGATCGACCTTTTTTAGAAGATAAGTCCTCAAAGTCGATACATATACACAGTATTAGCAACAAAAAGCACTGCACATATGGAAAGTATGAATAAACTAAAAAGATATCACAAATATCCAAAAGAAATAAGTTGGAAAAAGATACACGACTTGTTGGACAATTGGCTTGAATGAACCAGCAAACCACAAGTCCCCATCAAATGAAAGCAACCACAATTATATACTTTTGGTATTATATAACAGTTAAAGACACATATTCACCAATTTTTAAAAATAATTTCTTGTCAATACAATTGAAACTTCTCTCTCAACTTGAAACAAATGGAACCACAACTTGATAATTCTGAGATTTCCAACTTCAAAAAAAAGAACAAGTGTGAAAATGCTAAAAGGTTTACTGATGAGCAAGTGAAGTTACTTGAGTCCATGTTTAAGCTAGGAACAAAGATAGAGCCAAGAGAGAAGCTGAAATTAGCAAGAGAACTCGGGTTGCAACCACGCCAAGTAGCTATTTGGTTTCAGAACAAAAGGGCTAGATGGAAATCGAAGCAATTAGAACACGAATATCGCCTACTTCAATCGAAATTTGACAATTTAAATATGCAATTTGAATCATTGAAGACAGAAAAGGAGAGATTACTCATTCAGGTATCGTACTTAATTTCTTTAGCGAAGATTCTGACTCTACTGCTGTCGCGCAACTTATGGAAAGGAATCAAATTTGTTTTTTGTTTTTTTTCTCAAAACAGTTGGAGACATTAAATGATCAGCTAGAGAACAACAACGCTAGAGGCAGCGGAAGTCAAGATTCAAGAGAGGGTGAAATGCTGTTGCATAGAGAGTTAGAAATGAAGGATTGTTCAGGTTCGAGATTTGATCACAAGAGTGTAAACGAAGAGGATGATGAGACAAGAGAAGGAAGAGATAAATACTTCACTCCAAAAGAAGAAGCAGAGTTTTGGAACCTGGAGGAATTAGGAGATAATAATTCCTTACAACATTGGTGTGTTGGCTTAGCTAGTATTTCCAATTCCAAGTTGTGGGACTTTTGAGACTCACAAAATTGTACATAAATTTTCATAAAGTAGTATAGTAGAATAGAAGGAAGGAATATTTATATATCTCTGTTTCCCATTGTGAAAAAGAATCAGAATACTTCATGAAAAACAGAGGCATTGTTTGTGAATCCTTCTAGAAAAAAAAATACATGCAACGAAAAAGGAAAAGAGAGGTAGCACATTCTTGCGTTAGCATAGGGATCGATAAAGGATCGCACTCTTATAGGGGTGTAGTATAAGTTGTAAATACCAATGCAAAGTAGTGGTGGAGAAAGACTTCGTGTAGAAACCAAGGAACGTTAATATAAATTATTTTACCTAGCGACATACACAATGTAATATCTTTTGTTGTGTGACCATAGTCAAATTGCCCATTATATAGGATCCTGAAGCTAATTTTGTGTGAATGAAAGTAGAGTTTCTTATCAAGTTTAAGACAACTCTAATTAAGCAGATTAGTAGTAACACCACTGGTCAACGGAACGGGACGTACCGGTACCGTTCTGGTTTGTCCCATTTCGGTTGCCTACGGGACGGGACGGGATAGTCTGAATCGGTACACAAAACAGGACGGAACCGTGATTTCGTACCGGTACCGGTTCATCTCGGTTCCAGTCCGGTCTAGTCCGATTCCGATCCGGTTTACTTAATATATATTAATTTTTTTAATATTTTATATAATTTATATTTATATTTTATATAATTTATATTTATATTTATATTTTATATTTTATATATTTTATAAATTATATTTTATGTTTATATTTTTTAATTTTTGTAATTGTTTTATCCTTATTTCAATTTAATTTTTTAAAATTTCAAATTTTATTTATTTAATATTCACAAGACACGAGTTATAAATATAACTTATAAAATAAATATTAATGAATATAAGTAATAACTTATAAAGTATAAACTTCAAAAGATTTAAATTTTGAAAACTTTATTAGACTTTACTTGCAAATTTAATAACAAAATATATATATATATCTTTAAAATAAATTTAAGTAAAAAATTATAGTATAAATTTAAAAACTATTAATTTATATTTAAAAAAATAATTATATTTTCGTAATCCCAAAAAATATCGTCCCGTTTATTCCGTCCCGTTCTATCCCGATCCATTCCAATTTGTTTCGGTTCTATCCCGGTATATAGTGGAACGGGATGGAACTGATTATTCATCCCGATAATTCCGTCCGATTCATCTCGATACCGATCAACATACCGGTCAACAGGTTCCGTTCCGATCCGATACCAGTTCGTTCCGGTCCATACCAGTCTTACATGTAAGTACCTCTACCAATTTGCTGACGTTTTTTCACAATTGAGTAGATTCACTTGAGAAAGATTCAATAATAAGGAGACAATGGGGAAAAGAAAGATAAATTCTAGTTTTGTTCCTAATGATGTTGTCTAACTAAATTGAAACTTCAACTAATTAAAATATGATATTTTGATCTCTATACAAACGAAAGTATAACGTTAAGACTATTTAACTAAAATTGTATGATCCCAAATATGAATTAGCATTATAACAATATTTTTAACATAAATACGAGTAATTAAATAATATAGCGCTTAATAGTTTATTAAATTTCTAAAGATTCACAAAAATTAGGATCAAAATATGTCAAACTAATTAAAGATTAACATGATTAGTCAGATATCGTGTCTGACTAAATTCTCACTTTATCATCAATATTAAGGAAAAAACACTGTTTTATAAAAAAAAAAGTGTTAGAAGGTATAACTATAATTAGAAGATCATTTATGTTTCAAAGACGGTTTGGCCGAGTGGTCTAAGGCGCCAGATTTAGGCTCTGGTCCGAAAGGGCGTGGGTTCAAATCCCACAGCCGTCAGTGTTTAATTATTTTGCTTTACTTTATTAAATTTTTTAATAATTTCGATCTCTAAATTTATCCAAAGTTGTCTTCCTCACCTGGAAGCAATGGCTCTCTGCCTCTCAGCTTCAAAATCCATTGCTTTCAACATAAGATGCAGCAATTCTACAAGTGATCCTCTTCCGTCTTCCTCTGTTTTCAAATCCCTCAGAATTCCCCGTTTCTGGCCATGGCAAAAGGTATTTTCCGTTTCATCTCCTCTTGCTTAGCTGCACAAATTTCGAGCTTATAAAGGTTAATTGAGCTGAATTTACAGGTAAAGATGGGACCTTTGACAGTATCTCCAATGGGGTTTGGTACTTGGGCATGGGGCAATCAGCTTCTCTGGGGATATCAAGATTCCATGGACTCTGAACTTCAGCAGACTTTCAATCTTGCTGTGGAGAATGGGATTAACCTATTTGATACAGCTGATTCTTATGGGACTGGAAAGTTAAATGGACAAAGTGAGAAACTTCTTGGAAAATTCATTCGCGAGTTTCCAGGTCACATTGCTTTGTTCTTGTTTCTCATTGAAACTAGTATATTCATGTTTGGAGACTGTCATTTGGGAAATAAACCAATTCTTGCTTTTGAACATTTCATGGGCAAATTCATTAGGAAGTTTTGAATAGACAAATTTTGATGTATCATCTTTTTATAACCATGGTGTTTAGGCCACCCTCCCACAAGACCACAAATGTATGGTAAGGTCTGCGTACATACTATTCTCCACAGAGCTCACTTACTTGTGGGATTACACTAGTATGTTTATGGTGGTGGCGGTGTCCAGGCCTCCTCAAGTACTTTTAAATCGTTTTCTTTAAGAACTAAGAGTAGAATTACATTGGTGATTCGGGGTGATCCAGTCACAGGACACTTACATTTCATCTTAATTGCTTCACATTAATGGAAAAATAAAGCAGCAATTGAGCTTATAGTTTAGCTTCCCAACTGTTCGTCTTTTGAAGAATTGTTTGCTATTCTAACTAATTATGTAAGTTTGCAACATTGTTCAAACTTTGAGTTACATAATGCTTTTCATTCTTGGTTGGACTTCTATGTGAGCGTTTGGTGCTCAGTAAGTTTGTACCGAAATTCACATTTGTTTTCTAAGTTATTATCATGTTTTCAGGAGACAAGCAAGTAAAGAATGACATCGTTATTGCAACAAAATTTGCAGCATACCCATGGCGCCTAACACCTGGACAATTTGTGAATGCTTGCAAGTATTGCTCAACCTCATGTCTTCTGAACAAACTGATAATCAAAAGTCCAGTTTTAAGGGGGGAAATACATGTGTTTATGATTTTCATTTGGTTAAGGTTACATGATTGTTAGAAGTGCACTAAGTTACTCTTATCTACTGTGTCATCCAGTAGAAAGACATTAGGCTCATAATTTGCTTGTTCTTTGTGAAGCAACAAGATGATTTTACTATATAGAACTTTGTGACAGGTCTTCTCTGGAAAGAATGGAAATCGAGCAAATTGGAATTGGACAATTGCATTGGTCAACTGCAAATTATGCACCTCTGCAGGAACGAGCTCTTTGGGATGGTTTAGTTGCCATGTACGAGAAGGTTACTAATAACTCAGTATTATGTGGGAGGGGAGATCAACATTTTGCAGAATTGCACATAATCAAATCACAAACTTTGTCTTGTGCAGGGTTTAGTTCGTGCAGTAGGAGTGAGCAACTATGGACCAAAGCAGCTGCTGAAAATATACAAATATCTTGATGACCGAGGAGTACCTTTGCGCTCCGCCCAGGTGCTGAGTCTTCTTCTAATTTACCATGAAGTATACAGTTACCTTTCTTTTCAGAAGCAAATACAATTTTGTTATATGCACAATGCTCAAGTTAGGTTAACATCAGTGTCAACAATATACAACTTCTTTAAAGAAAACGAATATAGTCAGCTCTAATAGAACCAACTTGCCTAGTACCTGTGCTAGTAGGATGTTGCAGGTATCCAGTAGATTCGTCAAGATCGTGCTAGTTAAGCTTGATATCTCTGTTAACACCACCGATTCAAGCATTGTTAGTGGTCATCAAATACCAATATGACCAGTTTGTACTTAAATTGCTTGCTTTTGGTTCCACAATCTTAAGCCAGTGAGCTCCCCAACATCAGGTACAATTTTCATTGCTAAGTATGGGAAGTGATCAGATGGAGATAAAAAATATATGTGATTCACTAGGCATACGGGTCATAGCATACAGTCCTCTGGGTCTTGGTATGCTCACTGGTAAATATACGCCCTCTAATCTTCCACCTGGGCCAAGGTACAAACTCACAATTACTTTCAGAGTTGAATTTTTCTAACAACTAGACGAGCAAGTACAGCTCACGCAATTATTTGATACTTCTCTCAACGTAAAACATTACTTGTAGGGGATTACTCTTTAGACAAATTTTGCCTGGATTGGAGCCTCTACTTACCTCACTGAGAGAAATAGCTCAAAGACGTCGGAAAACAGTACCACAGGTAAACATATAGTTTTACTTCACTAATAATTACTCCCTTTGAACTTAGAACCTTCAAATCACCTATTGACATAAAGTCGCCACGCAGGTAGCTATCAACTGGTGTATATGCAAGGGTACAATTCCTATCCCTGGAATCAAGTCTGTAAAACAAACTGAAGAGAACCTAGGAGCCCTTGGTTGGCAACTCAGTTCTGATGAATTGCTCCAATTAGAATTCGCAGCTCTTGATTCTCCACAGAAGATGATCCAAAACGTATTTCAGACAAAGTGACAACTTCTCCAAATAATCAATATGTTTAGGAAGAGATACTTACATATAGAAGGCAATATTCGAGCTAAAGGATATCAATGAACACATTTGGATCATTAGCTCTTCCAAAATGCATATTCTCAAATATCTGCAAGGTAGCTTTGTGCAAAGTGTAATTTATATCCTATTCACGGTGGTAACATTTTATATATTTGTCTCAAGGCAAAGAGTAGGATCACAACATTCAAGATATGCCTACTGCTGTAAGAACAGAAAACCCACCAAACAAAGAACCAACAGCACTTAATTGAAGATAAAGAAAACAAAAACAGCCCATAATTATAACAAACTCGAAAGAGCAATAAATTCTTTTTGTAAATGGAACTGGAGTCTAAACGAATGTTGTACCACAGTTAAACAGACAACAATAGATCCAGCAAAATGTGAGCTAAGCAAAAGAACTACAAAATCATGCAATAGGCATAACATCTCCACATGAAATGCAACCGACTGTCTACTTGATCTTCTTCTTTGGCCTCAACTGCAAAGCAAGTAACAAAAGAAACAGTTTAGTGTACGGAGTCAAGTTGAACAACATACATGATACAAAATCTTGCAGAAAATCCTCAAGAAGTTACCTGATTGCTGTGACCGCATTTCTTCTTCCTGCAGTTCACAGCACGTGGGTGCAAACGGGCATAGCACCTGCAGAAAAAAACATGATTAAACTGGAGTTCTGGATGCATGTGACCCTCAAATGATATAATAATAACTGAAGAGAAAATGGACGTGTTCAACAGTTTCTTGAGCAAACAACACAATTCCAGTATCCGAAATTACCATTTCAAAATGAATACATGCATCAGTACACCATATACCAAGCACCTTCTCATGCTAACCCGCCCCATGTGGTAAAATGATATTAGAACATAAATGTGTGAAATGGCTATAGTGGAGGATTAGAAACAGGGTTGATAGCAGTTGATAATATTTGGTAGACTCACACATTAGATACCTTCCGAAAACCTCAATTTTCCTTTAGCCGAAGCACACAACTCAAAGTGTGCAAGCTAGAATCAGAGAGAAAACAGCTACTAATATTGTTAGTTTAGTGTTCAAGGTGCTGCTGCACCAGAGATGTTTTGTTTTTTTTGGAGTAAACCCAACTCACAGCTTCCCATCCACCATTTTTAGCTTTCTATCCATTTCATCACAGAGTTGGAAGTTTATTATTAACCATCTGTGGAAAAAATCAGGACAGTGACATCCAAATGCAACCTAAGCAAAGGTCAAGACATTGACACCCAAACGCAATCTAAGCTCACATTCATAAAAGGATTGTGATTTTAACACAAAAACATCCTTGTAAAGACCATCTTAAAGAGTTCAAATTCAACTGAAATAAATAAGTCTTCCCACAACAACAATTTGATATGTGGAGTTCATCAAATGATAAGAGATAAGTAAACCAAAGCGCTAAATATAGAGCTTACTTGCGGCAAATCATCTTCTCTTGGTTGTATTTCCTGGCCAAGGCCATAAGAGACGGTTCAATGATCCCACCCCGGAGCCTCAGGACAAGATGCAGAGTCGATTCTGTTTTATACAAAATAAAATCCATTAAAAAAGGCAAGCTAATAAACAATAAAACAATCGCTACTATTGCGAACTGTTAATCCAACACAGACCTTTTTGAATATTATAATCCGCCAGTGTACGCCCATCTTCAAGCTGTTTACCAGCAAAGATCAGTCGCTGCTGGTCCGGTGGAATACCTAGACAGAGAACCCATTAATTCATTTGTTGAGATCCATTCATTAGTTCCATTTGAACACCATTTCAGTTCTACAGATCAAATACAAGAAGAAATTGAACCAAAAAAAGATCAAATTTCCAACAGATAATACCTTCCTTGTCCTGAATCTTCGCTTTGACATTGTCGATCGTATCGCTGGATTCAACCTCAAGGGTTATGGTCTTCCCTGTTAGGGTTTTCACGAAGATCTGCATCTTATCTCTCTGGTGAAGTGTAGGGTTTTTTTCTTCAGGAAGCTTATATTGGGGGATTTTAGGGTTTAGGATTTCCCCTTGTGAAAACGACGTCGCACAAATGTGCTAATGTATGGGTACTCTGTAAATTTTGTAATTATATTCACCTCCCTGTGCATTTGACTATGACATTATGCTTTAGATGTAGAAATGGTAATTATTTATTTACGCTACATTAAGCAATATAATTAAAAATAAAAATGCATACAAATATAATTTAGTAATATGTCTGTGAGTATTTTACCTTCATCATTTAAATTACAAAACGAGTACAAGATATAGGAATTATTTAATAATTGATTAGAATTGAACGAGTATTAGTTATGTAAGAATTTGTTTTGAATGAATCTGTCGAGTCAAAAGCAGAATCAGAATTTCAGACTTTGGATGCATCAATATAAACATAACTCAAATATGAAATCTAAAGTAAATTTAAAATAAAAACAACTTTCCGACTTTGGGTGCATCAATATAACATAGTTCAAATATGTGAAGTTTAAGCTAAACTTAAAATAAAAACATAAAAACAAGTTTAAGTGAGATTCAAACCCGGGTCTAAAGGGTATAATATCTCTAACTTCTATCAAATGCACAAGAGTACTTTCATATTTTTTATGAGTGCACTGTTAACTATATTCTAATTTCTATCAGTTTTTCAAAATAGGTATACATGTATACATATAATTTTTTCGAAAATTAGAGGGTGCACATGCACTCCCTCCATATAGTGTGGATCCGCCCCTGCCAATGGGTTCTAAATTCTAAAAATGAACAACGATTTTAAATCTTAATTAACAACCGTCAAATTTTGAATATTTTTACTATAATCTTCAATATTGTTTTAAGTAAGGTTAAAATTATTAAATTTACCATTAATATTCTGCACCTAAAACAAATATTTTTACTAGTTTCACTATCACCTTGAACCATTACTGCCTATCTGCCACCAAAAATTAAAATTTTCAAGAGCAAATAATAATTATTTTAATATAATAATTTACCCATATGTAAGATAACCCTAGAATTAAAGATTAAAATTCAAGTTTTGAATAGGTAATCATACCATGTAAAAACAAACAAAATAAGAAAAAAAACGAAAAGGGAGAAACAAGAATACAAATCGGAAGCAAGATTTTGAAAGGTAACAATTGGATCAACAATAAAAGTTAGAACCCTAACTTTTGAGGGGAAATTTTGGGTTAAACTTTTTGAATGTCTGATGTTGTATTAGAGTACAAATCAAATATTTTTTTTCTATTTTTTACATTGTCAGATTTTTGTAAACGTATATAAACTCGATCAGTGGAGACCAAACGATTTTATTCGGGTGCACAAGTTCCATCGGATTAATTGTTTCATTGTGCTTGTGGGTTGGCAGATTGTATTTCATATTTTTATAAAAATATAGGGTATATTTTTAAAATTATAAGAAATCAAAGTACAATTATTGTTACTCTTCAAATTAATCAATTTGATTATTTTTTTTCTCACTATTTCAAGTTTGAACCAAATATGAAGATCAAAACAAAATACGGAGCATGATCGCAAACAAAACAATAACGACATTGAATGCCACGCCCAGCTGCTCACCAACCCAAAACCTCCACCAGACTTTAACTTGTTTCATTGTGTGTCGCCGATGGAGCAGTCACTTCATTCTTATTTAATAATACCATGGCAGTGAGCCTGGCCTCCTCTTCTCCCATTCTCTCAAGCATCTCACCTACCCGATTCTCTCCTATCCGCCGATCTATTCTGTTGACCTCTTTCTCTGTTGCTGGAAAGCCACTTTTTTGCTCTCACCCTCATCGGACAAGCTCAAATTCCTGGAGATCTCAGTGTCGTACAAAAGCATCAATGGCTGAGAGTGTTACCGGGAAAAGTAAAGCGGAAGTGAAACTGTACGATTCCGAGGAGGAACTTGCTACGGCTCTAGCCAAGTACACTGCCGATTTATCGGAGAAATTTTGCAAAGAGAGAGATGCTTTTACTGTGGTTGTTTCTGGTGGTTCACTTATCAAGTCTCTCAGGTATTGATTGATTTATTAATTCTATTCGTTTCTACTAGTATTATTTTGGGGTATATGTTTTTGGATTGCTAATGTTTGTTGCAGGAAATTGGTGGAGCCACCATATATTAATTCAATAGACTGGTCCAAATGGCACATTTTCTGGGTGGATGAGAGAGTGGTTCCAAAGGATCATCCTGACAGCAATTATTTGCTTGCTTATAATGGTTTTCTATCCAAGGTATATTTGCTGCCCTTGTATTGATTTTATTGATTGTTGCTGCTGCCTCAGTGTATAGTGTAGTTGCTTCATTAGCATCATTTTTCACCTCTCCTCTGTTTATTTGTTGTTTTTCCCAACTGTTGTGATCTTTTGCTTGTTAACCCAATCAAAATGTAGGATGCAATTGGTTTATTGCACTAGTGATTTCAATCAGGTACCCCATAGTATTTGTAGAGGTGCCCGGACACCACTGTTATAAAAAGGTTCTCTTTTTTCTAGTTATGAGCTATGATGATGGTCTCAATCTCTTTAAGAAATAAGTTTTAGGGGGGAAATGTGAATAGAGATTAAAGTGTGCAGTGTTGATGGAGAATACATCTAGAGTTACTTAGATTCTCATTCATCAACTCCAGATGAAACATTTGGGAAAATCAGATGAGAAAGTAATTATGTGAGGGCATTAGGCCAGTGGTAACAAGGAATGCAAGTCATGCATACTATAAACATATAACTTTCCGCAGTTCCATAGATTAAGAAGTTAAGTAAGATAAGCCTGCTAATGTATCAGTGAGAACTAAAACAATATGATGTGCTCTGTTAATATGTAATTCACATCAGATTTCTATCTTGAACACATTTTGTGCACCCTATGTCAATAGATCAAATAATAAATGCTGCTCTTACGTGCTAGCACGAAAATCATTTAAGTTTCATGAGATCTATGAGTAAGAAACTTCCACGGAAGCACCTCTCAAGATTCAGCTTGATGATCTATGGACCTTACTATTCCAAAATCTTAAGGAAGTAAAGATCATTGTGGTAAGCTGCAACCAAAGACCAGATGCCTCTTCTTGGATAGAGCAAAGGCGGTCGATGTTATTTGATTAAATGTGTGGTGACTCAGGTGCTTGGCTGGTATTTGACATCGTAAAAGATGGCAATGCAGAAAGAAAGACGGCT